TAGATTTTAGTGATATTTTGTTATATTTTTGCAAATTTATATTAGGTTTTTATTATTAATAAAATTTTAATATTTAACAAATTTAATAAATAAAATATACCAATTATTGATGCTGAATTGAGACCAATTTTAGGCTGATTTATGGTTATTTAAGTTCTGAATGGCCATGTCTGATTGGAATCGATCAGTGTCTATTAGCGTCTGAATTGTTGCTAAATTGAGGCCAGTTTTAGGCTGATTTATGTTTGAATTTAAATTCTAAATAGCCATATCCAATTGGGGTCCATCGGCGTCTATCAGCACCTGTTTGTGCTGATCAGAAAATATGGCAAATTGAATGTAAATAGTATCAAAATTAGTCTAAAATCAGCCATCTGATTTTTAGCCAATTTGGACTATTTCGATTAGTAATACTAGCTGGTCAACTATTTTATTTAAATCAATTTTTGCTTTTTTATGCTTTTCATTTTTTTTCAGCTTTTTGCTGATTATTTATGTTAAAATCTGATTCTAACTCAATAATATGTGAATTTAATCTTTGTCATTTATTTGTTGAATCACTTATTTTAAATCTTAAGATATCTTCTAACTAGTTAAAATTATCACTAGATATTTATATATAATTAATTGATAAAAAAAGAAAGGCTTTATTTAATTACTATCGTATGTATTCAAGCATTTTGTATTACATGTATTTATATAATTTTTATATAACATATATACAAATATGCAGATTTTAGATATTTATATAGATATTCATAGATATTCATATATTCGCAAATAGATATTTATCTTCTCAAACTATTATTCAGATAAATATGTATATACAAATATACAGATAATATATTCACAGATCAGACTACTACTTTTTATAGCTAATATTAAAACAATTTAATTACTATTTTAACTAATAAAATAATAAATAAACTAAATATCTAGAAGTTTGAATCTCAGCTCTCTATAATAAAAAATTTGTCAAACAATATCTTGAGAATAAAATTACTTATTTTATCTTAAAACTTAAATTTAAATTGTTTATAGATAAATAATTAAAATATATTTTTACTAATTTCTCATTTTATAGTTAAAATATTACTCTCAATTAATCATATTTTCACAAAAAGAATACTTTACACTTTTTATTCATATTTATAAATTCCTTAAATACAAATCAAGATTCAATAAAAATATATCTAATAGTATATTATACATTCTATAAGAAATTTGTATACAAAAATATATATAGAAATAATACATTTTTTATATTCATAAATAAAGTATAATATTATGTAATTATTATATATATAAAATAAAAAAAAAGACAGAATTATAGATACATAAAATATGTAAATTAAATATATTATATACATAAAATATTATATATATTTTATCAGTATATTTTATATGTAATTTATATACAGTGGCAAGCAAAAGAAATGCAACTAGATAACATAAAATTTTATTGATCATTTAATTTCACATAATCTTATGCAATAATCACAAGAAATATCTTATTTAAAAGTTCTGAACTAAAACTACATAAATATATAAACTTTATATTACTTTAAATAAAAAAATTCAAAGTTATTTTAATTAAAAAAAGTTTAATTTATAAATTTTAACGATTTTACTATAAGTTTGATCTTAGTCTTTATTATTTAAATTTTTTTAAAATTTTTTAAAATAATTTAAAAAATTACATTTTAAATTAAATTTTAGCTATTTTTTTAGAATTTATCATTTTTCGCATATACGATATGACCTAGTCCCTTATATTCACTTGACTTATATGAAATACACATGATATTTATATATATGCAACATTTGTATATATGATACACATGATGTTTATATATGTGATATACGTATTACACATGTATTATACATATTATTTATATATGTGATTTATGTGATGCCATCTATTTAACTTTTTTTCACTTTTTTTTCGCTATACTTTTGACTTTAATACATACTAACCTAAAATCTTTACATTCATTTTTTTATTTCAACATTGTTAATTATAGGTTATTTGATATTATCACCTTTTTATTATTATAATTTCACTTTTACAGCTGTTAACTGTATCTATTCGCTACCTCAAATTTATGAATTTATGCCTTTCTTTACTTTCAATATATTGCTAGTTGTTAGTTTATACTTTAATTATTGTTGACTTTGCTACCTCATTTATATTTTGATATTAAACTTTTCTCTATCTTCCATTTGTGTTGTTAGTTATTAATTTGTTGTTAATTGTCTATTACTTTTAATTTATATTTATTGATTGTTGGTTGTTAGTTGTTACTTTCAATTTATATATATAACTAGCTTCCTTTATTATTATGGATTGTTCACTACTTCTAATTTGTATTTGTTATTAATTATTAATTCTTACCTTTATTATCATTTACTGTATACTAACTCTAGTTCGTATTTGTTATTAGTTAATGAAATAGACAGTAAATTTTCTTCAATCTCTGTTATTAAGCCAGGTAAAGTTAAGCAAACCATGTATATAATATTTTTATAATATCTAACATAATCATAAGAGATCCTTTTATTTTTATATAATTAGAATATATGCAATTTCAAGAGAATATAATACCAAATGAATCCCAATCATCAACCTTATATTCTGAAAAGATATTTTTAACATGGGAAGCATGTGAAAACTTCCTTAATGAATGGGTTAAAAGGCAAAGATTTTGAATTATAAAAGCCTGTGTATACTGAGACAATAGTGTTATATGTCAAAGAAGTTTGTATGTGTGATTATAGACGTTTCTACAAATCAAATTTAACAAGTAACACAGTCACAAAAAAAGCACAATATCCTTTTATAGTTATTATATCATGTTCAAAGATCAATAATCCTGAAAATAATATAATCATCAACAAAATTGTTGATAATCATAACTATTCGCCAAATAGGAATCAAATTGAATTTGAAGATTACAAAAGATTTACTGATAAAATACTAGTTGATATAAAGTTTATAACAGAAAACTGTAAGTTCAGAGCTACAGCACAAAAAAAGTTCTTAAAAATTAAATACCCAACACGGCCAATTTATTCAAAAGATCTATACATGATAATACAAAATTTTATCTTACTAACAAATCCTTGTCCAATAACGTTGCACAGGTATATTTGTATTTATTATAGACATATATATCTAGAGTATATAATAAGATTTAATGTTTAGATTTATAAGTTTCTAACTGGCTTGATCAGCAGAAAAATGATAATAAACGTTGGATTATTATGCATAGATGGGATAGTGATAACACTATAATTCACCTACTTTAGATGATGCTGAACTAAGTTGAATATTAGATACAATACTCTAATTGCATTTTAAATGATATCACCTATAAAATAAATCGTTATATAATAGCATTAGCATTATTCGTTAGATTTGATAATGATCGATAATATATATTATTGGCATTATCAACGGAGCAATTAACCAGTCATAATGAAGTCACATGGATGATGCAGTATGATGACCTCTTAATCCAAAATTCTGAAAATACTGAGAATTCTGCGAATTCTGGAAATACAGAAGATTTACTTAATTCTGAAGATCTTCCAAATACTGATAATAATCATAATTTTATTAATTAAATATGATAAACTGCCCTAAAGAAACATGTAAACACAATTTTTATTTTAATAGTTTAGTATTTGTATGCTATGATTTTTACGAAAAATAATACATATGCTATAAAAAATTATATTTAATATTAGGATAGAGAAGGATAAATATCGAAACTGATTGAAAGCTAACTATATATCTATAAGCTAAATTGTCTATTAATGGGTATAATTGCTATATACGTTTCTGACTTTTTTTACCTATTATAAATTTGTCTGGTATAAATTGACTATAAATGTTATGAATAGGAATAATACTATCTCTATCAATTTTATAATATTCATTTTTTCAAAGTTCGATATTACAATTATCATTATCATCATTAACTTTACAATAAAATCTCATTTGTTGGTTAGACGCTAGCTGATACTATTTTATGAAAGCTAAGTGATGTATCCTTACACTGATTAGAAGTTTAATTGCATATGTAAAAAAGAATTGGACTTGACTGGAGAATATATCTATTGATTCATTGTCTTGTATAAATTTAACCATAACATACGAATTTTTCAAATACCTTAGTACTATCATTACTTCAAAGATTTTAGCTCCAATCTGAATGCGTCTGTATTTATTCATATGTGGTAATATAATAATAAAGTTTTCTGATACCAATTTATCAAAAGCTGCTTCAGTAATCATTACAAACTTCCAATCATATGCATTATTATAATATTGGACCAATATTTTATAAATATCATCTGGTAGAAACATATTATTTTTTCTCAGTGTAATCATTTCTTCAGGGAATTATTCGTTACCAGTGATTATATTATCGAGATTATGATAGAAGATTTGCATGAATTGGTATAATTCAGCAAAATCAAATCCATTATATGATACTAAACTTCCAATTGTTGATCGAGATTTCACTAATTCAAGCATCTCAGTTAGCTTAGGATTTTTCGATTGATTAAAAATTAGGTTGTCCAATCTTGAATTTTGTGTAATGATATGTAAAAGTTCTGGTTTAATACATCACTGACTATTTGGAAAAGAACAAAAAATTAGTAATTGAATATGAATTAAAGTATCGATAACAATCATTATAATTATTTACCTAATAATCTATTCATTCTTTTAAATGAATAATACCAGAAAGAATATAATAGTCCATAATTATGGCAACATTCAGCAATATATAAAGACAAATAAATATTTGAAGTTATTATTTCCTGCTCATAATATTCTTCAATTAAAAGAGCTACTTGAAGTAATCGATTATGAGCTTCATCTAATACATCATTATCAATAATTTGACAAGTAAGTAAAAAGTAAGCTCTTAAAAAATTGGCTAGAATCTCTTGATCAGAAGTATATAGAAGGTCCTACATTAATAGGGTTGCATAAATAAGAATAAAAGACTTCCATTGATCTGTAGTATAATCAGAAAACCCTTCACCAGTAGTGATCTTATAAGGAATTCTTCCTAAATCAGCTGGAACTTTGATAGTTTTTGCTATTTTTTCTATCAGTTCAAGGTCTGATTTAGTGAGCTTATCGCTATTAATCCATAATCTTTTAACAATCTGCTATGCAATTCTAAGGAAAAGACAATGTATTAGATTGATGATAAGATATCTTATTAGGTTAAAATAGAATAACCTTAACATTTCTGATCACCTAACAAGTGTTGTAGAAATATATTGTTTCCTTTCATCATTAGACTTGCACCATCACCATCCTTTAGCATTCTGTTGATATTCTTCAAGATCACATTCTTGAAACCAATCAGTCATATTATCAAACCTATTAAAATTACCACTGGTATTTGCTTTTTTATAGCATCTATGGCATGCGGACAATGCTGATATGTGATCACAAATCTTTCTTGCTGCTGGTATATCATTTGAATAGCATATTACTATTAATTGAATATTTCTTCTAGTAGGATGCCATATGTGGCTAACAGTCTAATCCCATTTTAGAATTTTAACAATTTATCAATAATTGGAAAGAGATAATGGTTAATTCTATGCAGTTTGACTTCACTTAGTCTTAGTAGTAATCCTAGATATAACATATTCTCTCGTTTAAATCTGACTTCTCGAGAAAGATTACATATTGCTCTGTAAATCACACCACTACTATATGCTGATAATTTGAATGGTTAAAACTAATCAAAATTAATAATAATTCAATAATAAAGATTAGCTGTTTCCAGTATGAAAAATTGAGAATCACTTGTATTAAGTTATGAAGGGAAATTTTTCCAAATTTTGCCATTATAAATATCTGACATCAAACTGATCTTAGTATCCTAATTTGTCTATTCTCTTAGAAGAGATTCAAAACCTGAATACTGGTATATTGCAATTATTTGTGATTTTAAAAATGGTAAGGAAAAGACAATCTTAAACCTTTTGATATAGCCTTTTACTACTGGCACATATTTGACTAATTTGTCTCCACATGGCTGTTTCCTGCTATGTTTCAGGTGATTTGGAAATTCTATATAAGTGCATTTGAATCCAGAGCTCGACTGATCAGTTGCATTTTTTGTCAAGATTTCTGAGATTTTATATAAAGCATTACATTTTAGACATACTGCATATGTCTTTTCTTGTCTTTTAGCTCCTAACAATTTTTTTACCATATGAAAACTTGTTGGGAAACCTTTAAATCATGACCAATTAGTTTCTAACAAAACTATCCTAAAAAATCTAATAAGTGTGTCAATAGTAGTGTCTGGAAGGAGAAATCTTGATTGATACTTGAACATCCA